GAGGCAGGAGGATCACTTGAGCCCAGGAGTTTGAGGTTGCTGTGAGCTAGGATGACGCCACGGCACTCTAGCCCGGGCAACACAGTGAGACTCTGCCTTAAAAAAAAAAAAAAAAAGATCTGATCTTTGTCACTGAAGAGCTTCTGTATGCTATGACGAGTACCAACAAGAGGTGTGAGCTCACAATACTACGGAGATATGTTACTTCTACTGAGGGAGTTCCAGGTAGTCTTTAAAGAGGAAGAAACACATCAAGAGGCAGAAACAGGATCCGTACACTACATTTATTGAATACTGACTGGGCACATCATATACAAAAAAGTAGGATGGGGATAGGTAAGAATTTGAAGAAATTAAATATACACATTAATTTATCACTAATAATAACTACTAGAGAAGTACAAAATTTGTACATTATGCTTTATAATGAAATTTTGATGCCTGTCAAAAGGCATAATAATAAGCTACACACATACTGCGATAAAAATATTTTTAAATTGTGCTTAACATCAGAATTTCCCTCAAATGGGTTGGTAAAATGACTACACAGCATCTACTCTTCCACACATACATTTTCCATCAAAGATTGCTTGAACAGTACAAATACTTTGACCCCATCGCTGAGAAATCACTGTCGACCACTATATGTGCAGTTCCTCTAAGAAACATCACAACATTCGCATTAAAGCCCGTTTCTCCATTAAAGTCCACCTTATTTTCAGTCTGGCTTATCACTAAGTTCTCTTCAGAACTGTTTATATATCTTTCGTCTGATCATCTTCTTCAAGTTTCCTGATTTCATTTTTTAAACAATTTATAGTTTCACGACTTGCTTTTAATCTCTCCTTAAGCTCTGCAATTTCGAAGCTTGTTTTTTTCTTGGCAGCTTCTAATTTTTCTCTGGTTTTCACTTCAAGTTCTGCAACTAAGAAAAACAAATACTTTTACTGAAATTATTTCATTTTCCTCATGTCTAAGATATCATAGAATAATAAATACAGTTATTTCCTTAGGTCAATGTTTCCATGATGAAACGTGGACAATTTAAGATATATAATGTTAAATATGGGCTGGTGAGGGATGGGAGAAAAATTTCTGAATTCCCAAGAGAGAATCTAAGATGTTTTCTACAACTAAGAATGAAATTCCAGTCACTAACTCACAGTTAAGATTTTAAGACACAATGTCCTTCATTTCACCATATGTATATATTAATATGGAAATAAGGGGGCATACAAATTTAAGAGACATCAGCTAATAAGAAGATCTAACTAAAAGTATTCTTAAATTGACATACAGGTGAAACTTACATAAACAAAATCACACTATCAAAACAAGCCTGTATCTTTTTTCCAAAAAATGTAGCATTAACTAAGTTTGAATTCCAGTTCTACCACTTATTAGCTGTGATACTCTAAGTTATTTCACCTATGTTCATTTCCTCATTTATAAAACAGAGGTTATAACAGCAAACACCTCACGATATTATTTACTGAGAATATTTTAAATGAATTAATGTATGTAATGTACCCAGAATGCCTGGTACATAAAAAGCCCTATCAACTATTATTATGATAACAGAGAAACATTAAATGATTTTTGAAACATTCTAGATGTCTATATAACAAATTACTAAAGAAAATGTCATTACTGTAAAATAGGATACATCTATTTAAACATGCCACTTGAATATGTAGCACTATGTTTTATAAAGAAAAATGCCTGCTTGAATCCAACACTTCCATCTTGTGGGCATTTTAGGTAATTGCTGCTGCTGACTATTAAAGTTGTACTTGAACTAATACAAGATCGTCACTAGTTGGAAGCAGCATAGTTGGTTGAAGCCAACTTTGAAATCAGAAAGACTTAAGCTCAAATAAATCCTTGGTCCTTTATTACCTGAAGCTGACATCTCTAAGTCTCCCTCAGTCTTTTCCTCTATATGATATGGTTAAAACTAGATATTTCTCAGAGGATTTATAAGGATTAAGTGAAAAAATTACATGTAAAGCATCTAACAGGTAAAAAATATGCAATAAATATTAGTGAGTACTTTCCTTCTTATTGCTCACTGCCAGTGACTTGCTTTTTGTGATAAATTTTTTTTTTTTTTTTTTGAGACAGTGTCTCACTCTGTCACCTGGGCTAGAGTGCCACGGCGTTAGCCTAGCTCACAGCAACCTCAAACTCCTGGGCTCAAGCGATTCTCCTGCCTCAGCCTCCCAAGTAGCTGGGATTACAGGTGTGTGCCACCACACCCAGCTAATTTTTCTAGATGGCGTCTCGCTCTTGCTCTGGCTGGTCTCGAATTCCTGAGCTCAAGTGATCCTCCTGCCTCGGCCTCCCAGAATGCTGGGATTACAGATGTGAGCCACCACACCCGGCCTGTGATAAATTTTTGTAACATAGTAAATTTTATATTGCCAAAACAATCCATAGTTTTCTTTGGAATTTCTTTCACTGTTTTTATTTTTAAAAGTATTTAAAAAACAATGTAGCACATACATGATACAATTTAAAAGGCTGAAAAGAGTAGATAGCAAAAAACTCTTTGTACTTCTGCTCCCCACCGGTTCCGGCAACCAACAGTGCTTTTCTCAGAGATAATCAGGTTTCTCTAATCTTTCCAGAAATAGTCTGTTGATATACAAGCATATACCTAAATGCAGTTTCTTTTTTATCCCCTCACTGTAATGGGTATCATATTATACACATTGGTCTGCACTGTGCTGTTTCACTTAACATTGTATCTGGAAGCTCATTCCGTATCACAGAGCTATCTCATTCTTAATAGTGACTGCAGAGGACTTCATTGAATGTATACATTCTGTCCCCTACTGATGTACATTCAGAGTATTTCCATTTTTTCTATTACAAATATTGCAATAACGTGCATGCAGCGTATAATCATTTCAGTATACTTGTAAAATAAATTCCTGTAAGTGGAACTGTTAGGTTAAAGAATACATGTACTTATAATTTTGGAAGAATGAAAAGCAACTCCTAGAAGGATCTATCAACTTATAATTCCAATGGCATTATATGTGTGTTTTCTTACTGCATCAACTTTTTGGTCTTAATCTGAAAGCTTAAAAACAGTATTTCAGAGTAATTTTAAATTGCATTTCTCTTATTACCATTGAGGCTAATCTTTTTATATGTTTAAGAGACATTTCTCCCTTCCCTTCTATGAATTCTCTGTTTTCTCTTTGCTCATTTTCCTATTGTGTTATTGACCTTTCTTATTGATTTGTAGGAGCTCTTTATGTAGTAGTCCCCCTTATTCGAGGTTTGCTTTCCATGGTTTCAGTTATTCACTGTCAATAGTGGTCTGAAAATAGGTGAGTACAATACAATAAGATATTTTAAGAGATACAGCACATTCACATAATTTTTATTACAGTATATTGTTATAATTGTTCTATTTTATTATTTGCTGATGTTAATCTCTTACTGTGCCTAATTTATAAACTAAACTTTATCATAGATATGTATGTATGTGAAGGAAAAAACATACATAGTATATATAGGGTTTGGTACTATCCACAGTTTCAGGTATCCACTGAGGGTCTTTGATGCATCCCCAATGGACAAGGGGAGGGACTACTGTATGTTAAGGAAACTAGTCATTTGTGACATGAGTACAATATTTTTTTACAGTTTATCTGTCATCAGACTTTGTTCACAGTGCTTTTTACCACACAGAAATTGTTATTCTTTTGTACCCTCTCTGCCCACATCAATTAAAAAAACACACATTGAGTGATAGGCACTTTGTTAGATGCTGGGGTACGGAGGTAGAAAATAGTTAAGGAAAAAAATGCCATATAGTGTCAGGAGGTAATCACAGGGAGCTACAAGACTAGTTTCATATCAAAGAGAAAGGGTGTGTATCATCAAGGAAGACTTCTTGTCAGAAGTAAAATCCGAACTGAGTTTTAAAGACTGAGAAAGGAGTTTGATGAAGTGAACATAGCAGGCCCTGCAAGCAGCATACAAATAAGTGGTCCTGTACAATTGTAAAAGGTAGCATAAATCTAGTCAAGGAGACCTAACTTAACTCAATTGTCAGAAGGAAAGCATTCACTGTAGACATAACATAGATTCTTGTTGTTTTAGTCACAATACTTTATTTTTGACAACTCATAAGACTGCAAAGGGTATGATATATTTGGAAGAAGATCTGAGTTAATTAGCAATGAGATCCTGGGGAAAAACATTTTAAAACTTCTTTTAGCTTGTTCCAGTTTTCTGCTTCCTGTATATTAAATGCTCATGTAAAATAGAAAAGTTTGTTACTGTAAACCCAGCACTTTGGGAGGCTGAGGTGGGAGGATCACTTGAGGCCAGGAGTTTGAGACTAGCCTGGCAACTTAGAGAGATCCCCATCTCTACAAAAAATAAAAAAATTAGCCAGGTGTGGTGGTGCACACCTGTAGTCCCAGCTACTTGAGAGGCTGAGGCAGGAGGATTGCTTGAGCCCAGGAGTTGGAGGCTGCAGTGAGCTATGACCACACCATTGTACTCCAGCCTGGGTGACAGAGCAAGACCCTGTCTTAAAAAAAAAAAAAAAAAGGGACTATTACTTTTTTTTTTTTTTTTGAGACAGAGTCTCACTGTGTTGCCCGGGCTAGAGTGCCGTGGCGTCATCCTAGCTCACAGCAACCTCAAACTCCTGGGCTCAATCGATCGTTCTGCCTCAGCCTCCCGAGTAGCTGGGACTACAGGCATGCGCCACCATGACCAGCTAATTTCTCTATATATTTTTAGTTGTCCAATTAATTTCTTTCTAATTTTAGTAGAGACGGGGTCTCGCTCTTGCTCAGGGTGGTTTCGAACTCCTGAGCTCAAACAATCCGCCCGCCTCCGCCTCCCAGACAGCTAGGATTACAGGCGTGAGCCACTGCGCCCGGCGGGACTATTACTTTTGTTGAGTAAGTATAACTTACTGGTTAGAAGCACAGACTGTAAGGCTTTTACACAGAATATCTTATTAGTTAAGAGGACAGACTTTGGGTTTAAATCCAGGTTCCACTGGGTAATTCTGGGCAAGTTACCAAATCTCTCTAGGGTCCTTACGTACAAAATAAGGCTAATCACAGTACCTCCCTCCTAGGGTTGTTATGGGTATTCAATAAATTAAGAAATGTAAAGTGTGTGTCTGGTACATACTAAGCTCTCAGTAAGCGTTCATTATCAATTTTATTATTCCTTGTAGAAGTAATTACTACTATTAAAAACTAGATGATTAGTGCTTAAGTAAAATTCCACTGGTTTACAGTATAAACATCTTTATAAACTTTTAATATGTTCCATAATGATCAACCTCTATCCCAAATATTACTGTATCTAAAAACATGACTAAATTTTTAGAGCCTAAGATTTGAGGACTGCCTGGGATCACGTTCTGATTCTACCATTAACTAGCTGTGTTATCCTGGGCAAGTTTCTTAACCTTAACCTCCTTGTGCCTTAGTTTCCTTTTCTAAATGAGATTACTCAATAAAGTTGTTGTAGAGTTAAATTATTTGAGTTTATACATGTACAGACTTAGAAGACTACAAAGAGTAAGCACTCAAATCTCATAATTTATTATTAACAAATACTGAGTATTATGCCTTCAAATTGGTATTTTTTAGGCCCTTGAGTAATATTCCCAAATAGCTTTTCTAAAATCTAAAACAATTTATACTCAAACAATTCAGGAGAATGCAAGGTTTACCACATCCTTAATAGGTACACTATTAAAAATTCCTTTTGCTAATTTGATAGGACAAATATAGTCACTCATTACTATTTGGTCAGGATTTTTAAAATTACTAGCAGGACCAATATTTTCTTGTTTTATTTACTGGTGATCTCTTCTTCCATCCTTCTGCCCATGTCTTTTGCCCATTCATCCACTGAAATTTAAAATGTTTTTCTAAATGCATACAAGTAGTGCTTTTTACCTTTTCAGAGTTATCATAAACTTATCTGTTTTATGTTTGTAACAAAGTAGGCCAGGCAAATATTTTTGCAGGTGTAGAAAATGAAGCATACAAACTTTCAGTGACTATCAAATGGCAAAATTATAATTAACATCCTGACTTTTTAACTCCTAGTTATGTGTTTCATGAAAATATAAACACTGCTATAACCACTAATGGTTAAATAGCAATCCCCTTCCCCCCTGCATGATCATCCCTCCACCCCTTCTTCTACTGGATCACTCCTTTCAGCCTACAAATATACTAGTTTATTTCCCCATGAAAACAATACCCTCTTGACCTCATAGCCTGATTCTGCTCCAAGGGCGACTGCTCCCCTTTATAGGCAAGCTCCAACACAGACTTGTCTATGGTGCCCGCTTCCAATTTCTCCCATCTCATTGTCTCTTCAATTGACCTGTCCTTACTATTCTCCTTAAACTGTTCCTATTAAGGTCATTGAGGATCTCCATCTTGCTATATAGCCAATGTCTTGGCCCTCATCTTACTTGACCTGTCAGCAGTATTGGACACAGCTGATGACTCTAGTTCTTGATACACTTTATTCACTTGGCTTTCAGAACATTACATGCACCTGGTTTTTCTCTCTCCATAGAAATCTCCACTCACTCCTTTGATGGTACCACTTGGTCTCACAAATTTATAATTCTACTAATTTTCAAATTCGTGTCTTTAGCCTAGACTTCTTAAATACCAGACTTTAGGGTACAACACCCCTCTCAACACCTCCACTTACATGTCTTACGGGCATCCAAATCCAACATGTCCAAAATTATACCCTTGATCTTTCCCTAAAAACTTGTTCTTCCCAGACTTCCCATCTCCATAAAAAGCAATTAATTTTGGGGGGTTCCTCAGGCCCAAAACCTTAAGAGTCATCCTTTGCTCATCTTTCTCCCACATCTCAATATTCAAACCATTAGCAAATTCTATTGTACCTATCTTAAAAATAAGTCCGGAATCAGCCCCCTTGTCATCACCGCTATTACTCTGGTCCAAGCCACCATTCTATCATATCTGTATTACTGGAACAGCCTCCTAACTATTCTTTCTGCTTCTACCAGTTCTGCTTTACAGTCTATTCTCAACACAGAGCAAGGGTGATCTTTTTAAAACGTTAGACTGATAATGTTATTCCTCTGCTCAAAACCCACAAATGACTTCACATCTCATTCAGTTTAATAATCTCAAGTCCTTACAGTTACCCATAAGTCCCTACACAGACTTCTTTGGCTTCTTCTCCCACTCCTTGTCCTTTTATTCACTCTACTCCAGTCACACTGGCCTTCCTGCTGTTCCTCAGATACGCCGGACATGCTCTTAGGTCAGGGCTTTTGCCCTTGCTGCACCCTCTACATATAATATTCTTCCCTCAGATCTCTCCTTTACACCTTTTGGTCCGCAAATGCTACCATCTCAGGAAGCATTTTCTGACCTTATATTTAAAATTCCATCCATTTCCTTCCACCACAGTTGCTCCCTGCCCTGCCCTGCTCTGCTTTACTTTTCTCCCTCACACCCAATCACTACCTTATACTTCATTGTTCTATTCATTTAATACTTGTCTTCCTTCCACTAGAATATAAGCCCACAAAGGCGGGGCCTTTTGTCTGATTTAGACACTGTTCTATCCTCAGTACCTGGAATAATGCCTGGCATATAACTGGTGCTCAATATATACTATAAATGAATGAAAGAAAGATCAAAGAAATGACTAAATGAACAGTGACATAAATGTTAACATAGGGATGGCAACTAGGTTTCATCTTGAATGCCAACTGCAAATGATTGGCAATAGATGCCTGAAGGGACATGTAGAGGATTCTGGGGCCATGTCAGCTTAGGAGGAAAATATAATATGACTGATTATCAATGTGCCATTCAGGTATTCACCACTTGAGCATTAATCTGAAATTATATGTAAAATGACATAGGTAAAAACATGAGATAAGCTAGTTCACAGTACACAAAAGTATAATTATGTCCTACAAGGTTCTTCACACAGATTTTGTTAGCAAAGACTAGTAAACAAAATGATTGAGTCATATGCTAAGCAAGACTAATGAAAAGCTATACTTAAAACCAAATTAGGGAATAAAATAGACAAGCTGTATTTCAGAGAATGAGAGGCTGTCTTTTATGTTTTTGAAAGTAGGCCTACTTTGAGAACAATTTAAAACATCCTTCTTACATGTTTCACAGTAATACATGTATCTTTTAACATGTATCATTATAAAACAGTTTAATAACCATTAATCACATAATCCTCTATTATAGAATACATTATTTTTCAAGATTAATTGTGAATACATGGCACTTACATTCTGTTTCATGCTTATAGGCTCCTAATGTTAGCTGACGAGATGTTGTTAATAACTGCTGCATCATTGCTGTTGGGTCTTGAAATATCTAATAGGATAGAATGAAGAAAAGCCCAATAACTTCAAAGTTCTCCAGATTAAAATGCTTTTAAAACTCATTATAAAATCTTCTTACCATTTCATCATAGAATTCTGAAACTACTGTCTTTTTCCCCAGCATTGCATTGGTGTCTGATTGAAACAGCTTTAGTAAATGATACAGGGTTACCTGTGAAATAAAAACAGATGTCACATCTGTGCAATGGTTTTCATCATCGTTGTGAGGCACTGTCATTTCTTTCACTAAATCAGAGACTGGAATAAGTAGACGTATCAAATTCATGATCTTCTTTTAACTTATTGTGGCAAGTAACTCAAACTCTCTGTATCTTTATTTTCCTATTAGGTACCACTATCCATCTACAATCTACTCATCTACATCAATGTTCTGAAGAAGGTAAGTAAAAATCTGTTCAAATTCTCTAGAGAGTAACTATAGATAAAAATAACACAAGGCCGGGTGCAGTGGCTCACATCTGTAATCCTAGCTCTCTAGGAGGCCAAGGCGGGAGGATTGCTTGAGCCCAGGAGTTTGAGGTTGCAGTGAGCTATGATGTCACTGCACTCTAGTTGGGGTGACAGAGTGAGACTCTCGTCTCAGAACAAAAATAAAAAACAAAAAACAAAAAAACCCCACAATATACGCCTATGGAAATTAAACTGGGAAATCACTATAAATTCTTTTACTCACATAAGTGAAACTGGATTAATTTGTGACAGTTATTCCTGAAGATCAGAGTTAACAAATTTACTGCAGGAAAAAAAGATTTGATACTTTCAAATGAAATGACCAATATTCAAACGTTCAGTGAGGGCAAGATAATCACTTTGGGGATCTATAAGATTAATGCATATGTGACATAATAAAGAAACATAAATAAGTTGGTCAGTGATAATTCACTTTGGCAAGAGCAACATGTCTTCAAATACTTAAAAACAGGTGTACTAAGAAATCAAAGGAAAAGCTGTGCGGCACAATGTGTGATTATTTTAGCAAAATAAAATCTAGCTGGCAAAACATGAGACTTGATGAAGTTGTAGAAACCCATTCAGAGGCCTCAAAGAATTTTCCAAAAAAGTTAGCTAAAATCATTATATAGGAATGCTATTCTTCAAAACACTCATGAAATAAGGGAGCAAGGAAGGATACAATGAAGTCAGAAAATATAAAAATTCTTGCAACTGAATTTGAACATGTATCAACTCCCTTTAAAGACAATCTAGCTCAATTTTGAGAAAAGTCAGATTTCCCTGGACATGGCTCAGTAAGTGAAAATATCCTATTTAAAGAACATCCTCTAGGTTCAAGATGGTGTACCAAGAATATGGCAAAGGAGGAGGGAAATGCACAGAATTCCACTGAAATAACAGTAAAGACAAACAATCTGAAACGAGAGAGCACGAATTATATATAAAGCAGATAATTTGACAAATTTCTGGAATAGACAGAAAGCAGATGAAACTACAAGGAAGAATAATAAAACCACTAACAGAGAAAAATCACAACCTGAAAACTAAAGGAAGACAACTGCAGGGAGCCAGGGCTCTCAGGAGCCCCGGAGAGGCTCCAACCTCACAGTTGGCAGGTATCAAAATCAAGGATACTGTGGTGTAGCTGAGCTTGTTGACCTTCCCTTCTTCGCCCTCCACTCACAGACGAGAAAGAATATCCTCCTTTGGTACCTAGAATTTTTCACCCCACAATCAATTATAATGGAAAAATAAAGACATGTTCAAATGGGCAATGGCTCCAAAAGTTTATTTCTCAGGCATTCCTTCTATTCCTTCTGAAGAAATTCCTCCAGCAAAAT